TTTATTGCAGGTAATAGTCTGCTTCTCACATATCTGATAACTCTTGTTTTGAGCATTAGAGAAAAAAACAAAAGGACTTTTTCACAGATTGTGTGAACATTTCATCAGAATAAGCAATATTTCCTCTATGTTGGATAAATGTAAATAAATATAGTAAATAAATATAGTAAAGTACATTAGAGAACATGCAACAAAGCCATACTTTTAAAAAACACAGAGAGTTGAAAGCCATGTCAATGAGTTTGCAAGTGGACAGTATATGACATGAATAAGGACAGAATCTTGCACATACATTTGGCATCAGTGCGAAGCAAGTGAAATGGACTCCAGATTTAGGATTCCAAAATACATTTAATGGATCACTGCAGACTGACTCTCCAAGCCCAAGAGTTTGGATTACATGCTTGGACTGCATATAGGACAGAAAGAAAACATGCAGCCCTAGAGTGCAGAAGAGTATACTATTATGAAGTGTTAATAAATGTGCAATGTAGACTAATGATAACTGGTAAACATTAAATTTTAACCTATTTGCAATTCTTATTTAAAGTCATGAAGTTAAATGTACAATTTTCTGGTTTTTCACTCAAAGAGAATACAAATGAGTCGACATTTCGGAGGGGTGGGGGTGTGTTTAGGCAGTTATGGGTTCAGAGCCTGGATTCGTTCTACACACTTTGAGTACAGTCTCCAAATGAAAATTAATGGACACTTGGGAGTCACATATGTCGTCTCTTGTTATCCGGCTGCAAACCCACTAGCTCCACCTGCACTTGGTCAGTAACCCTGGAGCTGACAAGCTTCAAAAGGGATAAGACTTTCCAAGCCCCACTTTGATTTATTTTGTTTTTTGGCTAACCCTGAACTGAACCTGTCCCAGGAGATTTCCAGCCATTTTAGCCGTCCTTTTCCAGCATACGTGCACAACATGCCTCCTCGACCTAGATCCATGCTGTTTCTCCCACTGCTTTCGCAACAGCCCAAGGAGAGAATGAGAAACAGGCCCCATGAACGAGGCTCAGGTTCACTCTCAGCAATGCTTCTCCCCCCATTCCCCTCTCATCCAAGCCTGTGTGGGTTACCTTCTGATCACTATAAGCAGCCTTATCGTGAGCACACAGGAGGGCATTTATGGTTCACCAGGATTCAAATGAATGTTTATGAGCCTTGTCTGGCAGCCAAAGGCCAAGCACTATCCCAGCATTTAAAACCACTCTGTGACTTGTGCTCAGATATGGGGTGTCTGTGTGATTGATTCTGTGGTCACCGTTCCCTTTCTGTTTTTCTCACTGGAGGTTCAACTTTTGCTGTAAAATATTGTATATTCTGCAGAGCCAAAGAATGGAACAGAAATTCATCTAACATCAGCGTCACCTGCAATAGTGTCAGACTCCAAGAATCAGCATCTGTAATACCACAGTCACACCATTTATTTAATTTTCAGAGTATTTGTTTCCCATTGAATGACATAGGAAGTAGCAAGAATGTGTGATGAATCAGCCCAAAGCTCTATCATGGTGCTGTTTGGGTAACACAATAACAAATGAGTCACTGTGTCAGGAAAAAGTAAAAATATCAAGTTAAGAAGAAATTCTTTTTGAAAACTTTATGGTAGCACGGTGCCATGATGTCTACCAGAAAAGTCACCAGATTATCTTAATTGAATGAATGTATTATCTAAATTCTGAAAACTTTTCTTATAGGTGTGAGTGTGTGAGCATGATTGTTTGTACTGTGTGTCTCTATGTCACATTATGTTGGACTAGCAACCTATCCAGGTTCAACCCTGCCTTTCGACCAAAGAGTTATAGGAACCATTGCCCCATAGTGTTGATGGAGAAGCAGATATAGATGACTAGATGGATTGAATCCTATCTAATCAAACTACAACAAGAAGCTTTAATTAAGTTTTACTTGGACCATTTGTTACAGCTTAAAAATATTTCTTTAGAACAAAATAATGAAGTTTAAGGAAAATAATATTATTTTAAATTTGATTTCTAAATGTGAATCTAGTGCAACCCATTACATTCAAAGGTCACCTAGTTAGTAAATCCTTCTCAGCTTAATTAGAGCTGTTTTGGTCTTGAAGCTTTGTTAAGATCTTCAGTAAACAAATAGCATTATGAAGAACAATAAGCAGACAACACTTGTAATGGATTAAAGTAAGAATGGATTTTAAACAGGGTAAGGTTACAAAAACGAAATCCAACCAAGTTTTAAACATTGGAACGACCAATGTTGGATTTATATTTCAAACACGGTGCATGAAACAAATGGAAACCAGCCAAATAATGGCTTCCTAAAGGCCAGGTAAGAATGTAAGAAGTCAAGGAAGTAGCTAAACAGTTGTATGGTAACTTGGGTTAACGGTACAGATCCACAGCTCATATAGTGGACCCTTTTGACAGGAAAACTATGAGTCATTATCTTAATCAATTTGACCTCATTAGTCACAGTATCGCTGAGTTGTTAAAATAAAGCCATAAGAGGTCCTGCTCTTATTTTGCCAAAACCAACATAGGGGGCAAATCTCTGGCCTTGTGAGACCAAAATAAAATATTTTGTCCATATGACCCTGTGAGGGATAAAATACTAAAACCCTCAATACACATTAACAAAATGAAAAATGGTGGTGGGAGTGACATTCTGTTCAGATGTTTTCTAACAAGACAAGAGGGATGGTCAGTAATAATGGGAAGAAGAATGACTCTAAAAACAGAGCAGAAATCCCATTAGAGACTAGAAAAGACTTGAGACTGATCGAGAGGTTTGCCTTCCAACAGGACAATTACTCATTTAATGTAATATAATAGACATATCAAAGTCCACACCGACTTTTGACTGATAATCTGAAGGACAGCATATCAACCTAAGTTTACAGGGGCTTTGCACCAATTCTGATACTGATGTATTTCTCAAAGAAGAATGGTTAAAATGTCCCTCTATAGTGCTAGCGTACATAAACCCAAAGAGACCTACAGCTAATAAATGCAGCCCACAGAGGATGTAAAATATTTTATCCAAACATTTGAAAGGTATTACTTGTTAAAAAAAAAATCTACTTCAAAATCTGCACTATTACGTGCATTATCTATGTTTCTCACATGAAAATCAGCCCCCAAATATATTGACATTTGTGACTGTAATGCGACAAATTATGAAAAAATTTAAATTGTATAAATACTTTTGGTAAGGTATTTATATCTAAGACAAATCCTGTTGGTTCTTAGTGATATGATATACGGTGCATGTAACATGCACATAACATAGCAGACTTATTTCCCTAGGGTGTGTAGTTTTGGATTGCTTATTCCCTTTTCTGTACACATCATGAAGATTTGAGACATTGAGAGAAAGTTTGTAATATAAAGAATTTACTTAACAATTGTATAGCTTACTCTTACTACATCTGCAAAGCAAACCATCGCCCCATCTTATCAAATATTAACACGGTCATAGTGACTTTCTTTTAGTTTTGATGTAAAAACAAGCAAAGCATATAACTTTATTATGTCAACTTAACTCTCCTGTCTTGGATGGTGGTAATGTATTATAATGTATTACTTCTACTATTTTATATCTGGTGCAATAAGACCTTCACAGTAAATATTTAATAAACAAATTGTCTCTGTTACTTAAATGTGGTTACTTTTACAATTGCATTTATAATGATTGCCAAGTAAGCTAAAGTAAGTGACATAAAATGTTGAGAAAGCAGAAAATAAATAAAACAAATTACCTCTGGGACTTTCCCCAAACATACAGTATCTACCAGGCCACAGTGAGGTGCTCGAGATGCTATTTTACCCCCCAATGGAGATTCATTAAGAAAGTAGTAAGACACAGAATGCTTCTCTCACACTACTGTCTTGCTGAGAGTCAGATAAAGTAATCAATATCACTTTCAGTAGTCAGATTATTTCCCTCTGGAAAAGGCCAGGTTATCAAATACTCCACCCACACAATGTTACAGTGAGCTAATTAGCTTCTCAGTTATAGGACAAACATGAGAGCAGTATTGATATTCACTTATAACCTCAGGCATGGAAGTTAATCAGCACGTTTACCAAAATGTCAAAGTATTCTTCTAACAGGCTGGAGTTGAGTTGTTTACTGGCTCCATATTTCACATAAGAAATAATCATTGGCTGCAGTTTGAGGCCCTGTTGAGTCAGTGCAGTGTTTAATACGAACTCCTTACAGCTCTATTTTTAACACCAATATTTATTCAGACAAAAGAGAGTTGATTCATTTTGAAAGTTTAACTTTCATGGCTTTTCAATATTATTCAGGTTAAAAAACCCCACCTTATTCAACAAGGTGTTTTAAAGTGTTTTGCATGGTCAAATCGAATCTATCTTAACATTCTTTTTTCCTCGTGTTTGTACTAAAGCTTTTAAACATGCCCAGATTCATATGCAATAAAAAAAAGGGTCCACACATTGTTCCATTCTTCTTTAATATATGCCTCTAGGGGGTTTGTTTGATCTGCAAACACAGACGCACTGTATTTGCAGACGTCTTAACATTGTCTGAGTACAAGCCAAACTGGTTAAATTGAATTTGATATATTATCATCTTCCTCTTAAAAAAATAAAAATTCTTTTTAGGGGAATAATGAAAGCCTTATGATAACTGCTGGGTGCAATAACTTCTGCGCTCTCACTCCCTGTCCACATTAATCTAATTCTGTGCAAAACCATTTAACCAGATGTGGAGGACCAGATTGATCTGATTTGGGCTCATGATTTTTTATTGAGAATTACATTACCATATAAACCTGCACTGTTTTCTGAAAGCTGAGAACAAACAAGAGTATGCTCCACACACCTCCCAAGAGTGCTTTTTATGGTTTTGACAAAATCTTTGACAGCCTCCTGCTTAGAATAAATTCAAATGCAATCACACTGAGATAGTCTTCCCCAGACATATAACACTGTATGTGTACATGGTGTTCTGCCATTTTCATAATGATAGTAAAAGACAGAGTATTTCTAAAACTCAGTTTTATTACTTTGTTTTATTTAATACCCATTAAAAAGGACAAACAAATGTACAACAAATAATGTAAATGTGTTACAAAAACTGTTCCAGAATAACAGCTTTTACAGAACTATGCATGGCTTCTGCTTTACATATTGGCAAGCTTCCACGTGTACACAGTGGTGGGAGCTTCATGTAGTTATCCTTCACTTTTATGTGAAAAATAGCACCCTTTTATGTTCCCTTAGTGTTCATCTTCAATTTTAAAAGAACTCATCCACCTTTGATTGCTATGAGGTCTATATTCCCTTCATTTCAACCCAGAAGTTTAAAAAGTCTCTCATGAGTTGTGTGCAATCCAGATTCATGTTCGTCCTTTGAATGTGTTCATGCAGGTATAACTTCCAGAGAACCTGTGGATTTCCTCAAGAGCAACTTGCGGCATAAAGCTAAAAAGTTCAAAAGGAAAGGGACAGCATGGTAAGTAAAAGGCATAAAGGTGCAAAAAATTATTAAGCATTGATCTGTTGAAAACAGTACAAAATATCAAAATAATAATTTTTACCTTTTTAGTATAACAAGAACACGCATTGTCCAAGGCAAGTAAAGGAATGCCTTGTTAGTCCTGACAGCATCAACAGTTTTCTGGGCCACTACTTCAGGTTTGAGTGGTGGGAAGAGTTGGGGGAACCTATAAACGAATACATAGAGATTTGGAGATAAATTAAACATTCCCACAAAGATAAAGTAGAAAGTAGTATTTATTTGTTTGTATGGCTTTTTATTTTTAAATATCTACCAACCTAACTCTCATTCCCCGGAACATCTCTGTGTTAGTGTGGAAAGGAAGCACAGTGGTGCAGCTGACACCAGGACAGTCCAGCAGGCCGAGTGTTAGGCTCTCCATGAAGGCCAGTGATGAGGCTTTAGAAGTGCAGTAGTCTATGGCACCTGGTATTGGGGACTGGGATAAGATTGAGTTGATGCACACAACATGGCCGTGTTGTAGCTCCAGCATTCGAGGCAGGAACGCTTTGGTTGTCTAAAACAATCAAAAGAGATAAGGGAAAAAGACAAATGAGAAAGGGAGGCCTAAAATTAACACTGAAATATATTTGTTAGAATAAAATAAAGAACATGTATAAGAGGACATTTTGCAGTGTTATTACATAATATTTCGCACTCCATTAAGCAGAGAACACAACTTTTTACCCTCATGATAAAATCCTTTCATTCATATACAGAAAAAAAGCTAAATTGTTTTAAACCCTCTCTGATGTTTTAGACACTTAGATGTAATTTGGAAATTTTTCACTTAACCTGCCATAACAGCAGTCATGAGTGACAAGTCTGGGCATACCTTTGCATACACTTTCATGCTATGATCAAAACATAAAAATAAGGATAATCCACCAGAAGGAATTCCCCCTAGCCTTCAGGCAAACAGGCTTTGACTTGAAAAAATGCTTACCCAGAACTGTCCCAGTGTGTTGATATGCTGAGTTTTTAGAAGAGCGTCATCATCACTGTCCATCAGACCTTTTCCATGAACTACAGCTGCATTGTTTACTAATATAGTAACATCTCCAACCTTGGAAAAAAGCACAAGAGACCATACTCGTTAAAAAGGGGATTGAAATGCTGGTAAGCAAGAAGATATTTAAATTGGAGGGAATCAGCATTGCTTGTAGACAAAGTTTGTATGAGCTTTACAAAGATCAGAATTGTTTACCTTTTCTCTCACCACCTTGGCTTGTTTGTACACCTCATCCCGATTGGCCACATCACACACAAAGTAACAGCAATCTGATCCAGAGAGGGAGATTTCTTCAGCTGTCTTTTTTAAACACTTCTCTGTTCTTCCCCAAAGGATGACCTGAGAAGCAGCAACATTTTAAAAGTTAGAGACAAATGAAGGAAGATTCTGCAAAGAAATTGTGCAGAATAGAAACTAATTAAGAGTGCTTTACTTATCTTTATTTATTACAATATTCTTTGACTGAACATGACATGTTTTATGCAACTTTCTTGGCAATATGACATGTTTCTCTTTTCATAAAGGGAACAAAGAGATCATTTTTACATCAGCAAATACTCTTCATACAAGATTAAAGGCTTAGAGGTTGCTGTGAATGAACTGTTTCTTCATCCAACCGAACACTAAATGAACACTGATCATTTGAGCAGGGAACATGGGGTTAGATGGGGATGGGAGGGAAGGGGACCCAGTGACTGGGCAATTAGATCTGTCAGTCTTTGGGGTCAGGGAAAGGTAATGAAATCACAGGGTCAGCTGTCCTCATCTCTCAAATACAAATTCTCAACGAGATTACATAGCCTGTTGGGGCAGATGAGCCTTGTCATTACTCGTAAGGGAGCCTGAAGAGAATGCATTTCTGAAAAGCTAGGAATGCCAGTGCTGGCTTTGGCTTGTTGTCCATGACTGTGTGGATAAGTCCACCATAAAATGATCTTTCATATTTAAGTTAGGGGATCTGTAGACAACATATCTGTCTCTTGGCCTGTGGTTCAGCATGCCATACCCTCATTGTTTCACCACTGTTTATGTCTAAACAACCATTTAGTCAGTTGGTATGAGGGGATTTACAGGGATTTTAAGATTTAAAACTAAAATATAACAATATAACATTTAAGACTGTATATCTGAGAATGCAGGTAAAAGTAGATCATTAGAGCCAACTGCACATACTGGAGGTCTGCTGGTGATAAAACCGAGTCATTCTTTTTGGCTGTCTCCGCATGCTTAATCAGGAGAATTAATTGGTGAAGTCTGTGACTCAATGCAATAAAGCTCCTTGGGTCTCCTTTGATAAAATGTTATCAAGCATTATACAATAAAATTCACTGCATAGTATTATATCTAGAATAGCGTTGGAAAGTATTTACCTTTCTTTATGGTTTGATTATAGATTCAGAATATAAGCTGCATATGTAATTGCAATATAGCATTGTCATAAATCTATGGAAAATTGTCAGAAAGAATAAGGGAATTTCTTGAATAGTTAAGGTGGTAAAAGGTGTTTAAAAAGAGAAATATTTCAAACAATGACATTTGGGAACAGCACAAATTGCAGCCTGCAATGTCCTCTTTAATTCCTATAATCACAACTGGTGGCAATCAGGGCTTTGCCTCCTTCTGAGAGTAGCTCAGGTTTTACTTTTTTTTTGTTTGCCTCATTTGCAAGCCAATTTAAGTAATCACTGAAGGAAAGCAAGTCTTTATAAATAATTGAAAGCTTTTAATAGGATTTGAGCCAGACAACATTGACAGGTCTCATTAAAAGTCAGTACTTAAAACTGTGTTAAAATGTTATTTAATCAATCAGGCTTATCACCCGTCAAAACACGCAGAAGAGCAAACACACATTGGCCAAATTGCTAACTGGAAAGAAAACAGTTTTAATTGTCCTTGTAAATCCTGTGCTCCTTGGTGATAAACCTCTGATTGTTCTTACAAGGCATGTCTAACACGACTAAATGTCAACACACTGATCAAGTGAAAGCTTACTAATCAACAAATTGATGTTGCAGAGCTCATAAGAAATTCTTGACAGAGACAGAGCATGTCACTTGATACACACTGAGGCGCAGCTCTGTGTTTTGAGTTGCCTCAGCTGAATTACACTGATACTTTATCTCCCAAGTCTCAATGTATGGGTGGGTATGAACCCTCCTTTTCACACCCATTGTATGAGCCAGCAGAGAGGCGGCACACAGAGGGGGCAGCAGGAGTTCAGGAGGCAGTCGCCTGCCGCTGTCTAATTACTGCAGAGACAGCAAGGTCAGTTGCAGGGCAATACCCAGCTGGGAGTGGTGTGCTTCCCGCCTCAAGCACAACACAAGCACAACCACACAAACCTGTTGTCTGTGTATTGCTTTGGTTCACCTTCCAAGTGGAGATCTGTCTATTGTTTATTGTTGACAGGTCATTTCTTTAGTTGTTGGTTTAAGAAGAGGACATTTGTATAAAACTGTATTCTTTAAATGTGATAATCTTTTTTTCCCCACATACTCTATGCAAAAATGTTATTTTGCTTCATGGTTTAGGAGTTTTCTTTGCAAGGATTTCCATACAGGCAGCATAAGATGACCTGTCTACCACTTTTATGCTGATAAATTCTGTCATTAACAATAATATTAACCCCTAACTCACAAGGAACTAAGCAAAAGCAAACTACAAAATTCTAAGTTCCAGTCACAATGAGAGAGCACAAAGTTTACAAGGTCAGCCGTATCAATAATTACCCTCCTATTTCCTCCTAACTGCTCTTTAACCAGTGATCAATTGTTATTCACATTACGAAAGGTGTTAAGGCCTCACACCTTAAAATAAATCAACAATGCACTGCTGAAAAGCATGTGACATCCTCTCTTCTTCTCAGTGATGTGGCACCAAAAGACACAATTGCTATTTCAGTGAACAATCTGAGATAGATTATGAACTATGGGATAATAGGTGCACTTACAAGCACTGCCCATGTCACATAGGCAGATCACAGCTGTCAGCTTTCATTTAGCTGAAATTAAGAAAACTTTTCACCCCTCTTTGTAATATTGTATTTTTGAATTGATTAAAAAATAATTATCCATTAGCACTACTCTATTAAATGGAGAATCTTATTTCTCTAGCATTTGGCTGTGTAATGTTCTTTTTCAAGATTGCCAGACAATGGTTAGTTAGCCTAATCTAATAGTATAAAAGAGTCAGCAGAGCATTTCAGATCCAAGCAGGAGTTCATTGTTTAGACTGAGGGAGGTGAGGAGGTTTGGTTGAGATGGAGAGGATGGGGTTAATTCCTACTGAAAAATATTAATTTACAATAAACATGACCTTAAAAAGTTGATATCCAACTGTCCTTTCAAAGCCAGGTCACTGACATGAATATAATGGATTCTGGTTACTTCAGCAATATTTGCAATGAGGAATGTGCTAAAAAGTAAAACTTTCACATTCAAAAAGACATTATTACTTGCTCTTGGACTATTTTGACTCTTCTTTCAATTCATTCAGAATGCTTAACTTATAACTCAAAGGAGACAAATTGAGAATGCTTACAAAGCAATATTTTAATCAGCAAGAGCTACTTCAAAAATGACTTTTTTCTTATTTTTTTTAAGGGTTCATCTTAGTTTTCCTATGACTTTATAAAAGAAACCCCATGAAAACATGCAATGCATGAAAACAATTCAATTCTGGATTTCATTAAAACAGTATGAAACCCTGTGTCTTCTGTAGAAATGCTGGCGGTATTTCTTTGCTGTTTGTTTTTTATATTTCAGCAGAAAGTCCTCTAAATATTAAGAAAGTAGCAAGCTACAGAGATCTGCTGGCAGGGAATGTCTGAAAATAATAGTTAAAATACAGAACTTCTATGCACAAGCCATCGCCGAATCCACTTTGCAAAAACAATCAATGTGTTTCTCTGCAAAAGAAAATCAAACTATAACAAAGAAGTTATCTTACTCTACCTTTTTGGCTCCCTGCTTTGCAAACTCCTTGGCCAGGTGGCTCCCAATTCCTCGACCTCCACCGGTAATCAATACCACCTCCTTGCTTAAGTCCTTCTTGCTGCTTGGCAACAGCGACAGCAAACTTGCCCGAACTATGTGATAAAACATTTGGATCGGGAAGAGAAGCATGCGATATGCGATCTTCAGCTCCATCTCGGAAAGTGTCCCCCCCAAAAAAACACCAGAGGAGTAATGCGCTGATTTGGAGACTTCTGCAATATTCTTATCTACAGCTTGAGAAAGTTTTTATATGAGCGATCCGCGGGGGAAATGTTAAAGAATAAAACCCAGAAGTGCGTTTGTTTTGGTCGCTTTGACATCCTCGAAGCCCATCAGGCTCTTGAAACGTCTGGGTAATCAGTCATTTCTACTTGTCAGCAGCCATCGAGTTGAGACTCAGACGCGTAAAAGACATCCAAGCGACGCAGTGTGTTGCGCGCTACTGAATCCGCCGCGCTCTTTGCTGTTGTGTTCCTGTCCTGTCCTGCTTTATATATCACCCCCTCTTCCTCTTCCAACTATTTTCACTAGTGGAAAAACCTGGATGAACTTAGAGGGGCGGATTGTAAGGGTATTAATCCTGATTGACATGTTAAGTGGGGATGAATATTTAGCTCCAGTGCCCGTTTGCCCTGACTGCTTGCGTATTTGCCTCCTCCCCACCCCCTTTATGTCTCTAAATCGGCGATCAACACCCTCCTTCCAATGGTAACCCCCAGTGCGTCCCAGGTGGGTGCTCAATCTGGTTAGGGAAAATTTCACTTCATAATCCTGCTGACCTGAATTTAACCTCATTGCATAAGAAACAGGAGAATAGAAGTGTTGCAATAGGTTTCATGTAAGCAGCAGGACAACTCAAATAACACTATACTGGTGTGTAAATAAGCTGAAATGAGTTTAAGACAGTGACCCGAAAAATAGTTTGATAATTAAGCCATAAACCAACCAGCTGCCCCTAATTAATTGAGTAAAACAAAAAAGTAAACAAATATTTGAAGTAGCTAAATGCAAAATAAACACAATTCCGATAAAGATTTGCAGGCAGGCAG